CGCTTCTCAATGAAACGCGTGTATTGAAGCCCCGATTTCAAATTTTAATAACGAGATCTTTAATCCACTTCGGAGATCAAATTTCTCTCAACTAAAATATCATGGCATGAATGATTTCGAATTTATATATCGAAAGTAAAGAGTTTTCAATGAATATATTCCGTACCTTGCAGTCAAAGACTATTATCATACACGTAAATTTCGAGCATTTATTCTTTTAGAAATCTCAGTTTAATTATCTCAGTTTAATTCGTCGTTAAATATTAACAAGTTGAAAGGAATAATAGTCCTCGGAGTGTCTATTATTAATTTCTAATTCAATCAATATCGTAAAATCTGATGTTAAAATTAACCTCAATCGCTCTATGCGAAAACGACTGAAAACACTCTGATCATTAGCCAGCAGCCATTAATTATGAAAAGGAAGGAATCATCATTTAACGTTCTCTTAAAATAGTGCAAGAGTAATTTTCATCAGTTTGCCCAAGTCAGATAAATGGAAGTGAGAAGAGTAAAATAAAAGAATCTATATTCACTGCGGCGCGAAATTATAGACGCGGAATCAATTACAAATCGATAAAAAAATGTTCGTCACGTTTTTGTATCGCTCCCTACTACACGAACTATGTTTTTAACGAACGAGAACAAAACATTACGCTTCGCGGCAGTTCGATGTAACACAATAAATACATTTGAATCCTGTTTGTGTGTAACGGAGGAAGGGCCAACATGCATGTGTTATATCGAGTAATCCCGCATGAAGGTAAAATCGTATTTCGTAACTATTTAGTTTAGAACGAAAATTACGTCATGTTGCTCCAAAAATTGAATTCTCGTAATAGCGTATTGTGTACAATAGCATCGCAAAACGTAACTTATTTTTTCTTTTTAAATATTTTTTAAAGAGTATTCTAGTATTTAACTACGTACGTTGCCTGTACGATTATTTTTTTTACGAAATTAATAAAAATGGCACAACTTCAGTGCATAATATGGATACTAACGAGATATCTATTATTCGTTATTATTTAATAATTTACAATTATTATACGAAATAAATCCTTTTTTAATATTAATTCCTAAAATATCTACAATAGTTTACCACTTTTTAATATTATAAAACGAAATAAAATGTATCCTCAGATATAACTTAAGATCAGAGAGGAAGATGAAGTTTTAAATCATGTAACATTCTCGAACGAGAAGATACTCGACAAGCAACAGTCATCTCGTCATGACGTTGAAACATGGAAACGCTTACGGATCACATTTATAGTCATTAGTGGCTTCTTGTGCAAAGTAAGGATGGAAGGAGAGAAAGAGGGGAGGGGAGGGGGGTGGAGGGAAGAAGGGAGCGAGAGAGAAATAGAGAGAGAAAGAGAGAGAGAGAGAGAGAGAGAAAGAGGGGTCGGTCGTACAATCCTCCTTCATTTCGCAGCGCGTAATTCTTGCAGTTAACATGACAATAGATCCTCTCTTATCGGGCGTATACCGGTAGAACGAGAAAGGGACTGCTGCAGGAATAAAAGCCATGCAGCAGAATCGATGCAAACGCGCGCGAACGACTCGCTTGGCGCGACCAGACCAAACTTATGTCCGTGTTCTCCGTCCAATCCGTGAAATTAATCTAGCTTTTGCCCAGAGATACCCATCCGCGCCAAGGGAGGAGCGATAAGACGTTGGAAACGGCGATAGCCACTCTCCTTTATTTCCCAGTCGAAAAATGAGCCTTTATTTCATCGGCGAAATACGAAGAGAGCAGCCTTTCTGGCACCTAAACGGCGCAAGAAACGCGACAGACTCTCCATGAGAGAGACTTTGGGAACCACGGCAAGGCAGTCGAGGTCCGGTGTATGTAATGCAACGGTTTATTGCTAATATTTCTTCGGGGTAATATCGGCGTTCCCGAGAGTGCTTGGCTTTCTCTTATATACCGCGGAAACTTAACAACGTCTCGGTTTCGAATCCTTAGTATTACTCGCACACGCATCTTTCCGTAGAATACGGAGATGTTTTTATCTTTTTGCACACAAATTACTGCGCAAAGATCTTCCGTCTAAAAAAAAAAAAACGAGAGATCTCTTTTGCAGTAAAAACATCAATATTTTAAATAGATGTACCAATAAGTTAATGTTTCACCAATGTTTCATGTAACAGATATATTATCGGAATTTTATTTCTCAATTTAATTTCACATAGTTGTAGTAATATATTCGCAAGAAAAATGTTATGTTATTTTATCGAATCAAGATTTAATCGAATGAAGATTTAAATACAAAACAAAAGTCAATTGCTCTAAATGTAACTTAACTCTTTGGATCAGCGATGCCGAATAAAGTGAGTTGAAATTTTTGCTAAAGCAGAATGGTGAATTTCGAATTCGCGTGAGAACGTTTATGTATCGCTGACTACTGGCACCTCTTCTAGACCACCTTTGTATAAACGCTATGGCGCATACTCGCGCGCCCGCCCGTCGCTCCATTCATTCGGAGCGATTAAACGTAACGAGCGCCATTATTGAGGAAGAACGTGCGAGGAACGGAGAGGCAAAGAAACGACCAAAGTTCGACGGACAACGCGGCCTTTCAGGCACTACCCGCGACATTAATAGCTTCCAGAATTAAATGTGGCTCGGCCCTGCTTGTCGCGACTCACGCACACGATTGTACACGGAATACACGTACGTATATGTACACGAGTATTTCTCTATCTGAAAACGAATCGACCGTGAACGCGTCTCGAGAATATTCGGATAGTATGGCGACAAGCTGCTCCCTCGTGTGGATGTTATCTTTTTGCCACTTGCTATCTAATCGGGCTTTCGACGTATGCGTATATTCGTGACCGAGTCTAAAAACGATAGTACGCATAAGGCGAAAATTTACAATCATAGTCACAAGAACGAGTTCACCATGTGCTACTAAAACATGTAATAGGCAATAATTAGATTATTTTTTGACAGATTTAGAACAGATCTCCTTCAGCGATAAATGGAAAACCCAATTACGTACCTAAAAATGGATCTTTCTCTTTAACAGAATTTAATCGAGTTTTCTTAATCAAGAGAGATAAGATTATTTCAATAATTAATAGAATATAGAAATGTGTCAGGTAATCTTATAACGCTGATTCCCAGAAAGGATAGAAATAATGTTTTAATAGTTTAAAATTATAAATGTTAACAAGTTATTATTTCTTATACAATACAATAATAATAATGTAATGACGACTAATGTGAATAATAAATTTGTATGCATACTTCAACATTAATACTGCATGTTAAATGAGCAATTCCAAATGTTTTTTTTATGATTTAGAAAGAGTTTTTGGAACCGCCATAAAATATTCACAGGTTCATTTAACGTGCAACTTTTCTGGCAATGTAAAATATTTAATGCAAATTTTCGCATTAAACTTTTTATTAAAGTAAAATTTTAACACCACGCGACAATAATAGGTACTAGCTTCAGTGAAAGCGTTATTCATCAGTCGTGAAATCTGCAATTCCGTTTGAAAATATACAATAGGCGACATCGCAAAAAGCACTATGCGTTGTTCTGCTAATCTTCGCTTTCATGTATAATCCAAGATAAGTAAAAGAAGATAACAACGAAGTTTATTGCAGAAAAGTGTATCAATGTTACACCGGCATATGTACTCACAATTACGCGACTGCCGCACCCTACGTGTATCACGTATATATATATATGTGTGTATGTGCGTGTGTGTAAACATAGGCACGTACCTCCTCGCTTTATCTAATCGCGAGCGTGCGTGTATAGGTGCTATCAGACAATACGGCACCATGCGACGGCGGTGCGGGCGAACGTCGAAGCTCAAGGGTCTCCTTCAATTTTTACATAATGCTCGTTGCCCTCCCCGAGCCAGTCTGATTTATTGACGATGTCGATTGGTACTCTCGCTCCCCGCGCGTTGAATAATTGTCGCTATTAATAACTGCGAATTCAATTCTCCGGTTCAATATCTACCGAGACGCGCTCGGAAGACGGCGAGCCGCGCCCCCGATGCTCTTCTCTCTCTCCCTCTTTCTCGCGTTCATTTAATCGCGCCTTGCCTCGGGAACGCGTACGAGAGACGGTATATTCTAAAATCTATAAACCAGCGTTTCCCCCCCCCCCCTGAGGGCCGATAGCGCGCCGGATCGACGATAAGAGACTTATTACCCATCGTAAATTACAACCGGTTCCTTATCTCGACCGCGTGGCGTTGCAAATTATCGGCTTTGTATCGAGAGATCAGTCGGAAAACGCGGACAGAAAAGATCGATCGACGATCTCACGACGTATACACGTGTGATCTATTTCGATCGATTGCAGAATGGAAAGAGGTGTTCAGAATGTGCTTAATGCCGAAGAGAATGACCTACAAAACGCGCCTCGACATTCACAGATATTCGCAATTGCTTATCGATAATCTTCTTAAACGTCAATTTCAAAATCACCCGTCTATACTCCGGTGTAAAATAAACCCGATATAATCTCGTCTTCCAACTTATAATATTATTTCAATAGCATAGAGAGATCAAAGTACACGACGTCTTATCGAATGGAATCAGAACCGTTTTCCTTGAGACTATAATAAAGACGATACGAAGGATAATCCTATCTGTTAACTGAATTCATCACGATACAATTACCGATATTTCGTCATTGGAAAGGCAAAGCTTGCTTCTATATTATCTCATAAATAAAGATGAGACAAATAATATTCAATTACAATATAACTTCACTTATCTCACAGGATCGGAATCAACTAAGAAGAGCTCTAATGGTAAGAGAGCCCCCGTTCTACGCTCATCGATGCGAATACGTTACGATAGAGTTTCACACTTCATCGGGATAACAGAGATAATTCTCTCGTTGAGTTTACCGAAGGTGTCAGATAAGTGAAGGCGGAGTTTATCGGCCGACGATTTCGCTCCGCGCGAACGCGCTCGTTACGCGCGAGTACGAAAACTCGATTATGCAACGGTTCGTTACCTTGATACTGTCGTAGCAGGCGGTCACCCGTCCGTTCTGCACCTCGACGTTAGCTGGTGGATGGGCGAACTTGCACTCCGTGTCGGGCCTGGTGCACTTGTTGCGCTGGAACTCCCTGCAAACCTCCAGTTGCAGCCACCGCGAGTCCTTGCCGTTCAGTAGGTTATTCATGCTGACCATTGCCATTCTTCCACTCCTGGAAGATCGAGAGTCCCCGCCGTCCGTTGGCCTCTACCGTGAGAGAGTAGTAACCCGGACTCTCCTCTCTCTTTCTTTCTCTCTCTCTCCCTCTCTCTCTCTCTCTCTCTCTCTCTCTCTCTCTCTCTCTCTCTCTCTCTCTCTCTCTCTTTCTCTTTCACTCTTTCTGCCGTTCTAAACTCTTGCTCGTGATGATCGGCTCCTTTTCTCCGGTCGCGTACACACGCGTCAACTAATCTTGTCAAGGATATAGACGTTTCGGTTTATGGAGTACGACCACCTCGCGACACGAACTCGTCGGCACTTGTTCACGGGATTTCGCCAAGTCCAGTACTGAACCCTTTCGTTCCACCACTTTCGCCACCTCGTCTCGTCAGCTTCTCTCACCACTCGCTCATGTGCACACGTTCACCCCTTCCTCTCTCCCTTTCTCTCCCTCTCTCCCTCTCACCTTCCTCTACCATTCACACACAAACACACTTTATGCGAAATCCCGCGTGTGCCTCAGAGTCATGTAACTACTTGTGACTGTATACCTTACGGCAGAAGATCTCTCGTTTAAGTGCGATGCGATGATCTTAGTGTCCCATGTACACGATGATCCGCGTCTGTCTTCCTGTGCGTAGATCTTCCGCGTGAGAAATCACCGTGTCTTGTAATTTCGTTCTTCCTCACCTCGAAATCGCGCTTGGCTCTCGTCGTCGTTGTCGTCGCGCGATACGTCGAATCGTCTGACGAAGACTCGCGTTTATCAGCAGCGTCGGCTGTTTCAAGCGTGGCTTATCGCCGTTCTTTTTCTCTCGCCTGATATCGGATTCCGTGACGAGAATTAATCGAAGGAGCACGGCGGCGGCCGGCTTAGGCGTTGTTGTCGATGATTCGCGTTTCTGCGAAATTCTTTAATCTCCGTAGGCCGAGTTTTGATGCTGCACGCGTTTCTCACACGATAATCTCCGGGAAGGCGTAAAAGCTAAATGTATGCAGGCGAGAGAGGATAGGATGAGGAGAGATATCTCACTGGGAAAAGAGAAGAAGCGAAAAATGTGAAGCTATATATCGACAGCGATTAGGCACTGGTCGATTTTAGGCGGGATGGCGCTACTCCTGGCTTCGTGATAAGGCGTCGTCGTAGGTCGTTGATCTCATCTATCGACTCCTTATTCACTATATTTCCTCTGTCCTCCCTTAATCTTGCAGCACACCGTACTTGAGAAGCTGTAGCCTGGGCGTAGTAGTAGTAGTAGTAGTAGTAGTAGTAGTAGTAGTAGTAATAGTAGTAGTAGTAGTAGTAGTAGCAGTAGTAATAATAGTAGTAGTAGTAATGGTGGTAGTAGTAGAATAGTTGTAGTAGTCGGGCAAAGCTTGAAAGCCTTCGAAGCTAAACGTCGACCAAGAAGAGCGTACTCTCTAGACGCGCGCGCTTTTGCACAAGTATCTCCCTTCCTTTATGTACACACAGGCAGTTGGTCGCCGCTGAGGGTGTACTGGATCGCACGTGTATGGGTGTATATGTATTCGTCTACGTATGCGTGTTTCGAAAAGCCGGTCGTGACGTCCTTCAAGCCGGTTTCAAACCAACGCGTGTGTCTCGCGGCGGCGAGTCTACTGGAAGGAGCAGGGCGATGGTGGTAGTCGTATAGCGGAGGAGCTGGTGCAGGAACTGTACTCGTTCACCACGGCGGTCTGCCGGTGCTGCTGATGAAGCAGGAGAAGACGGAGGGGGAAGAAAGAAGGGCTGCTCCGTGCGTGGAAAGGTGGAGGAAACCCTTACGTGTCGTCCTGCCGAGATCGAGAGGAACAGCAACGCGCGAGTCGGTTATATCGAAATTTCGTGGACAGGAACAGGACGCTGGGAGAGGTGGCGGCGGCTTTAGGCGCCGAAGAAGCGTGCGAAGAGAATGGTAACGGAGACGACGACGAGTAGGAGCGGTAAGAGGGTAGTGTTGTAAGCACGTGAAGACGGCGGGCGACAAAGCGGGCGTTACAGGCGACAAGAGAGGGCAAAGGTCCAGCGGCCGGGTCGCGCCTCAGGTTCTTCGGGTCGTGTCGGGGGTCGGGTCGGACCCGAACAGGGAAAGA